GGAGTGAAGTCAAAATAGTTTTTTTTTTTAGCTAGAAACAAAATTGATATATCGCACTCTAAAATACCCCTGAATACAGATTTTTCGACAAATTAAATTACTACTAATAAATTCACTAATTTCGTGGTCCGCTTGACCAATTAATAAATTACAATTAATTAAGGTTTTTAGTTGAGATAAAAAAGTCAATGGCACGAGCGGGATTCGAACCCACGATCTTCGGCTTGATACGGCGCTGGTCTACCACTTGAGCTATCGTGACCTCGATCCACTCGGACACCAACTTTCCATCTCAAAAAGGAGGGAAAATTAAAAAAAATGTGCAGTTGAGATGGGAAGTTGGTGTCCGAGTGGATCGAGGTCACGATAGCTCAAGTGGTAGACCAGCGGCGTATCAAGCCGAAGATCGTGGGTTCGAATCCCGCTCGTGCCATTGACTTTTTATCTCAACTAAAAGCCTTAATTATTTTATTAAATTACAACGTTTTTTTCTCAAATTTTTCGCCTTCCAAATCACAGAAATAGTAATAACTTTGAAATGACTGTACCAAGGCACGGAAAAATTTTATGGAGTTTCAAAAAATTAATAACTTACACGTAATGGTGGAAAGTTGGCCTACGTAAATAAATCGGAATTTGAGATATAAAATAAAATGTTGAATGAAGTTTGGTTTATTTTATCATTATTTTTCTCACTCACGACACACGTAATTTGAAAGAAGTGAAATTATTCTTTCGAACAGTTCTAATTGGAATAGAATTTAGGTAAAGTCCATAGACGCTATGAATTTTTAAGTGAAATATATTTTAAAAAATTGGAAAAACTCCACAAACACCCGAATTTTTTAATTCGTTTGTCCGTATAAAAATTCGTATTTAGTGATTTTAACTGGCCCTTTACCAAACCTAATTGTTTTTATTTAGTTTTTTATTTTGCTACTTAAACAAATATTTTTTGACCCGTTTTAAATTTTCTAACTATTTATGTATCAAAACTATCCTAATAGTTCCTCAGACGGTCTCAAATGCTATTAGTTTGTCTAGCGTATGGAACAAAGAAAGACATTTTAATATTATACTTGTATTTGTTAGTAAAGACTTTTATTTTTATATTAAATCGCTTAATATATTTCATATTATTTTTTTAATCCTAGGTATTAAAAAAATCGACTGGTACATAATAATCTTATAATACATGTACAATAATTTAAGTTAAGTAGGTTCTCTAGACACCTAGGGACTCATTCTTCTCTAATAATTTTCGAACTTGAATCATTATAAAAAGTTTGGACTTGGCGATCCTACGTCTGGGAAAATTAATTCTTAATTAACATCACTGTGACAATGCTAGCAATATGCAACTGTAGAAAACTTACAGATTTAAAAGTAACTAGTTATCAAAACAGTTCGCTAATTTTGAAAATTATTTTAATCATTTGGTATTCTATTTCTAGCCGTTAAAGTATAGAATTATTTAATTATAGTATTAAAAACTATAGTTTCAGCCATAAAGAATTTATAGGTCCACCTTAGCAGGATGGACATCTATCACACATCCATTGAACAATTGTAATCTGAGCAGTTAGAAATAATTTTGAAGTCCTCACAAACATGATTTATTTCTTGAAAACTTGTCGAAATCACTTAGTGTTTTTCCATTTTGTATTATTTTTATACTTTTTTTAAATTACCCTTAATTTTTATTTAGAAATCGTGAGATGCGTTCTGGTGTGATGTAGGTTTCAGAAAAACATTTTCTTTATCGTGCCAACGTTTCGATCTTTATTGAGATCATCTTCAGGGCCTGGGATTTACAAACATTGTTAATATATTACAATTATATTTCGGATGTGGAAAAGTGAATTTATACAATGCAAAATATATTTTTTATATATTCAATCAATATTTTGCATTGTATAAATTCACTTTTACACATCCAGTAATTGTTATATGTAAACAATGTTTGTAAATCCCAGGCCCTGAAGATGATCTCAATAAAGATCGAAACGTTGGCACGATAAAGAAAACGTTTTTCTAAAACCTACATCACACCAGACCGCATTTCACGATTTCTAAATAAATATCGATTAACGGTCACTAATCACCACACATTACCCTTAAAACTGGTTTTTTAATATACAAATAAAACTAAATTTCCCAATTAGAGATTATATTATAAATTTTTCAAACTTTTATCAAGTTGATAGACTATTTTTTATATAAAATAAACAAGATCCATTTTTATAATGGAACACCTATTAAATACAAAAACAAAAATTGAAAGTAAAAACTAAACTTAGGAAGGTTGTTACCCCTGTTTTGGATAGCTTTTTAAATGTATACCTTTAGTTTCTACTCAATAGATTTTAAATTTGATACTTATTTTTTTAGAACTTGGAATTGTTATATAAGCATCAAAGTTTAAAATTGCTCATTTTTTAGTAATTTGTGAGGCTTAATTGGTGTTCAAAGAGAAGGCTAAAAATTGTAAATTTTGGAACAATTTTTTCAAAATTTATTTCGTCCATTACAGCCAAATTTGAATTGTTTTATCCTTATTTGCGTAGTGAGAATTTCTTGGTAAAGTTCAAAATTAGTGAGTAAGAAATATGTAGTTAATGTCTGGCCAAAGTTTGAAAAAATTGGTACCAAATTTTACATGTCTATACAAAAATAAATTATTTCTTCTCTGCTAGGTGATTAAAAAAATTGCACGATACAATTTCCTGCCTATTATTTATCTAAGAAATGCAAAAGAAAAACGTTATCTTAGATGTATAATAACTAATTTAACTATTCGAGAAGTTGGGAAGAAGAAGCGAAAAAAACCAACCCGAATTTTTCTCCTTTTTCGGTCGATTTTCGCCATAAAAACTTTAATACATAGTGTTTTAATGGCGTAGTTTTTCATAATATACATAAAAGGGGAAAGTCTTCGGGCAGTGTAAGATATAGTGGACGTTCTTGAAGACAAAATAAGCTAAAACTATTCGATACTTTAAAAAAATTATTTGCAGCACTTCTAAAGCTAAAAGTATCCAGGAAAAGGTTTCATCGTGTACAAAAAATATGTAGTTTAAATTTTCAAATAAAAAAACGGTTTTCCTCTTAAAACCGGTTGGTAACCTCGTAAAATTAAAATTTTTATATAAAGTAATTAAAGATGTATGATTTCTACTAGTTAGACTATGTTGGTAGGCCAATCATAAATTAAATATTTTTAAAAAGGTTGGTAAATTTATGACAAAATGCTTAAATTTAAAGAAGGTTTTAGTAATATTTGATAAGTATTTTAAAATACCAGCCTAGAAAACCATAACATTTCTTATGTAAAATTTAAATTACATCATCAACTTCACCATTTAAAACAGATGTGCGTGAACGAGCATTAGAGTATCGACTAGTTTATCGTGATAAGACACGTCAATAATTTGATGATGGCAGGGCTTAAACAGCTTTCATTTTATTCTTTTAAGACTATTCGCATCAAAATTGTTGACTGAGAAGTAAATGAAACTGTCATACCGAAAATGACTAACCAGGGACTAAAGAATTGATAAAACCAAGATTCATGTAGCAGAAGAAGAAGGATCAGGCTTGAAACATTAACATCTCAAACAACGCATCAAAATTATTGACCGAGAAGTAAATAAAACTGTCATACCGAAAATGACTAACCAGAAACTAAAGAATTGGTAAAACCAAGATTCATGTAGAAGAAGAAGAAGGATCAGGCTTGAAACATTAACATCTCAAACAACGCAATGTAAATTTTAATCATTGCATTTTAAATAAATCAACAATAATGATAGTATATAAAAGCATAGTTCCGTATTAATTTATTAATATTTCATCTAACTTTTAACAATGCCAGGAGGAAAGAGGAAATTGTCTGAAACCCGCAGAATTAACTATTCAAAACTTAGTACCACATTTACACGTAAATATACATTGTATTCCTTTTTTTATTTTTAATACCATAGAGAAAGCTGGAAATATACTTTAGATATTTTTTGACAGTTTATCCTTGAAAAGAAAGCGAAATTCAGGCCATACAAGAAAACAGGAGAGCAGCCTGAATGTTAATAAGGTATCTAACAACATAATAATAACTGTAATTAAAGTTGAACAAATAACAACAACAGAAAGAAAGATAGATTGATAGACAGATAAATAGATAGATGGAACAGAGGGAGAGAGAGAGAGAGAGAGAGAGAGAGAGAGAGAGAGAGAGAGAGAGAGAGAGAGAGAAATACATAGATAGAAAGATAGATAAATATATAGAGAGAGATTGGGAGAGAGAGAGAGGAAAATATATAGGTAGATACAAAGAGGGAGAGAGAAGAGAGGGAGAAGGGAGAGAGAAGAGAGAGAGAGAGAGAGAGAGAAATACAGATAGAAAGATAGATAAATATATAGACAGAGATAGGAAGAGAGTGGGGAAGAGAGAGGAAAATATATAGGGAGATACAAAAAGAGAGAGAAGAGAGAGAGAGAAGAGCGAGAGAGAGAAGAGAGAGAGAGAGAGAGAGAGAGGGAGAGAGTGAGAGAGAGCAGGAAATATAAACTTTTACAAATCAATTCATTATGATATGATTTATGCTAATTTCCTATCTTAAGCAGTTGATTGTTGGCTATAATTTTAATTTTGTATTGATTATTAACACACAATAATTGCAAAAGGAGTAGGAACATAGAAAATATCAAAAACATACGGATCTTGATGTTATTTATAAATTTAACTACTCATTAATTCTCCTTATAATATTAAATTTGTTCATTTTTTATTTAACGAATATTTCACGGTTGAAGTTGGTTGATGTGGTGTATAAATTGCTTTGTGTATATTTCACTGCCATTTTTGTCTTTTTTCTGTTAGGCACGCTTTATGTCCGATTTGAAAAGTCCCGGTCGTAATTTCGGTCAAATCAGGAAAACGTTGTGGGAACGAAAGGGGTGTTGGGCTGGGATTTTTTTCATTCTCTCTGCTGAATACTTACGGTGGTTGATCACGGTGTGACGACTCGGGCACGACTGACTACCCCAGGCCCCCACTACCCCCGAGGTCCCGGGGAGCGAGGAGCACCCTATGGAAGGGTGGGACCGTTTCCATCCCCCGTGGACCGCCCGTTTCCTTCTTCGACTCTGCATTCCGCTAATTGTCCAATTATGTCCAAAGGCGAAAGGGATCGGCCTGCGCTTCTTTCCAATTCGACTTCGGACTGCCGACCAGAGAAAAAAATATTAAACTCTTCCCAAAAGACACAGAATTACCTTAGGACTTTAAATCAATTTTTACATGAAATGTGGATAAGTCCTAAAAAAAACCTTCCTAAAGTTCCACCTCTGGGGAAAAAACTGATATTTATATATCATGGCATCTCAACAGACGTGAAAAATGCTTTATCCATGCTTTGAGGAAAAAAAATCAAATAGGAAGAATTTTCAAAGAATTTCAATATGTAGATTAAACTCAGATTCTAGACAAACTATTCTAGATAGTTTTGATATTATTATTATTTTTTATTTTTACGAGGGTTAGCAACTGCCGAAGACATATAAACCCCCCCTCGAAAAAAATGAAAAGAAAACAAAGCAAATTTGTAAGCATGTCTGGTTCGAATGCAGGGCCACTGGATTCGAACCCGGGACCTTTATCTTACAGTGATGATCGCCGTGTCAACGCCAAAACCGTTGCGGCCACCGACTCCCCCCCCCCAATATTGTTATTATTTTGTTTGGATTTACCTGAAAAATTTCTTTGGAACCTATTCCACCGTTTTACAATTTCCGTGAAGATTTTTGTGTATTATTATTTTTTTTTTAATTTAAAAATAACTATGCTCTAGCAGAGACATTATTTTATGTTAAGTAAGTAAAAAAACCTTATTAATTAAAAAACCTTAATTACTTATAAATTTTATGCTGGAACGCCACTTATTTCGATCTGTCTTCAAGAGTTTGGTATATATATTCAAATGCGTTTCGACATTGCACCAACTTCAGTGAGGAATGGACCCAATAAGTGACAAAAATCAAAAGTTTTACCCACTCCCAAACGAACACCAAACATAATATAAATGTTATGCTGAAAAATTTAATTATCTGAATGACCCTAGCTCTCTTAGACTTGACCACGTAAAATGAAATTTCGATTTTTCCGAGTTAGGTGCGAAGATCCTTAAATTGTACACTCTATGATTGCGAGAGTGTGAGAAAAAAGAAAAAAAATATTTCTCGTAGGCGAAAATGAGAATGTACAGGAAAATCGATTATGCTCCTCCAGCCCAAAAGTCCCCACGGAAATTTTCACACGAATTCACATTTTCCAGATAGCCCGGATGATATTTTTATTTGATCGATGCAACCATAGACGAATCGTTGTGGAACGCCTCAGGAATGGAAGAATTGTGTCTCACTACAATGTGGCTTTCACACCCAGTTCGAAATGATGAAAAGACCAGGGGAAAAATATTTTCACGTCGTTTCAGAAGCAATATCATACTTTATTGAAAAAAAAAGAGAAATGTTTTATTTAAAAAAAGCCTTCCTCCTTTTTTAAATCTGTTTGGAAAAGGAGATAAATGTAGACATCTTCTAGACAACTTTGTTACATATACAAATTGTACAAATGTATTTCAAAATTTAATCATTTAACCCATTGTATACAAATCCACTTGAATTTTGACATAAACCTTCATAATAAGTAGGGATACATAATTAGGTAATTATTGTTTGGAAGGGCTGTAAAAAAGAAGAGTGTGCATCTGCATCTATCTACCTCACTCTTCCCCTTGAGATAGATTTGATTTATTATTTCAAATTTCTTTCTCCCCATATGTGTGACATTGTTGGAAAGTTCACTGGATGTATAAACGTAATTAACACTAAAGAGTTCTGTTAATAAATTTTTATGTTTATAAAAAAATGTTTTATTAACGAGAACTTTGAAAAATATTTTTTTTTCAAAGTTGAAAAACTTACTATGGTGATTTTAAACTACTATTTCCAAACCTAGAAATCAACAAATTTCAGAAAACGTACTCCATTTAACATCCTTTGTAGTGGTATAATTGTTTTTTAATGATTTGTTTTAAGATGAAGAAATTGATGAAGGAAAGGAAAAAACCGTGGTTGACGGATTGGTAAGGATGGAAAGATAAAAAAAAACACTTATAACGTTTAAAAAATCATTTAAAATGTCCTTAGGTTTTTTTTTATTTTTCCCCTTCCCAATCCGTCAACCGCGGTTTTTTCCTTTCCTTCATCAATTTCTTCATCTTAAAACAAGTCATTAAAAAACAATTATACCACTACAAAGGATGTTAAATGGAGTACCTTTTCTGAAATTTGCTGGTCTCCAGGTTTGTAAATAATAGTGTAGAATTACCATAGTAAGTGTTTCAACTTTGAAAAAAAAAATTCCAAAGTTCTCGCTACTAAAGCACTTATTTCACGAAGTTTTACAAGTTTAGTATTAATCATACCTTATTGGAAATTTAACGAGTTTTCAATGGTATCAACGGATTTGTCCAAAACCTTTTAGTTTTGGGATTATCCCTGTTTATTTGAAGCAAGATTGTGAAATCTTAAAAGAAAAAGTGTTAATAAAAAATAAAACACATAAGTAAATTTTGTTATGAATGTATTAAACATTTTTTAGTTTTGGTTCACCCTCCGCATATGTATTTTTGACGCGCTGCCGTCGCATTAAACCCGCAAAATTCGTACATAAGACGTAGGATCAGCATATTTTTTATTAGAAGAAGTAACCATAACTAAAATCGTTTTGAATCATAAAACACGTTTATTCCGGATAATAATAATACAATAATTCTTTAATCAAAGTTCCAGTGGTAAATAAGTAAACACTTGTATTATTTTGGTCTCGAACCCAAATTAAAAAAAAAAGTTTAATAAATTCATTCAAAATTTCCTTAAGTTCTTTTTTTAATTTTCCACTTTACCAATCCGTCGGCCATGGTTTTTTACTTTCCTCTATCAATTTCTTCATCTCTGTACCAACCTTAACCATAGTAAGTTTTTCAAGTTTATTCTAGCTACTAATACGATTATTTTACGTTGGTTTACAAGTATAGAATTGAATATACAATATCATATTAGAAATTTAAAAAGTAATTAAAAAAGTAATTGCACTGTTGAAAAGGATATTAAATGGAGTACGTTTTCTGAAATTTGTTGATTTCTAGGTTTGGAAATAGTAGTTTAAAATCACCACAGTAAGTTTTTCAACTTTGAAAAAAATGTTTTTTCAAAGTTCTCGCAACTAAAACGTTTATTTCACGAACGTTAGAAGTTTTGCATTGATAACATCTTGTTGGCGATTTAACGTAGTTTTCAACGTTATCAATGGATTTTTCCAAAACCTTTTCGTTTTTGAGTTATCAATGTTTATTTGAAGCAGGGTCGTGAAATCTTAAAAAATCGGAAAAAGTGAAATAACTCCGAACTGCTGAGATTTGAACCATAGTTAATTAGGACTTTTTGGTTCCATTTTGATTGTAGAATCTACTGGTGAAGTCTTTTCACGAGTAGCCGAACACTCTGTATATCACTTGTACTTCAGGCTGTTGAACAATATAATCAAAGAGAGAGGAAGAAAGAAACGGAAAGGGAAAGAGAGAGGAGAGAGAGAAAGAGAAAGAGAGAGAGAGAGAGAGAGAGAGAGAGAGAGAGAAGAGCAGTTGAACCGAAACAAAAATAAATTGGAGGATGTTAAGCCCGAGAATGGAGAGAGCAGGGACGATGATGAATGGAGATGGGACAATGAGAGGTTCAGAGGTTCAGGTATATATATANGAGAGAGTGAGAGAGGGAGAGGAAAGGAGCGAGAGGGTGACACAACAGTAGAAAAACAAGGAACCAGGGGAAAAATAGTGATACAATATAAAAATAGTCTTATATGATGATATGATGATGAGAGGAAGAAGTAAGTGGAAGAAAAAATAATTAGAGAGAAATTTAAAAAAAACAGTACAGGGGAAAAGGGAGAAGGTTGGAGAGAAAGTGAGTAAAAGAAAGAAAGAGAAGAAAAAGAAAAAGAAAGAAAGGAAAAAGCGTGGTAGAGGACATAGATAGATAGATAGTTACTGAGAGAGTGGTGAGAGGGAGAGAGAGAGAGAGAGAGAGAGAGAGAGAGAGAGAGAGAGAGAGAGAGAGAGAGAGAGAGAGGAAAATAGCGAGAGGGTGAGACAGCAGTAGAAAAACAAACGAGAAAAGAAAAACAACTAGGAGGTAAAATAGTGATATAATAAAAAATAGTCATATATGATGATGAGAGAAAGAAGTAAGTGGAAGAAAAAATAAATAGAGAGAAATTAAAAAAACAGTACAGAGAAAAAGAGAGAAGGTGGGGGAGAAAGTGAGAAAAAGAGAAAAAGCGTGGTAGAGGACATAGATAGATAGATAGTTACTGAGAGAGTGGTGAGAGGGAGAGAGGGAGAGAGAGAGAGAGAGGGTGTGACAACAGTAGAAAAACAAACGAACTAGGGGGAAAAATAGTGATACAATATAAAAATAGTCATATATGATGATGAGAGAAAGAAGTAAGTGGAAGAAAAAATAAATAGAGAGAAATTACAAAAAAACAGTACAGATAAAAAGAGAGAAGGTGGGAGAGAATGTGAGAAAAAGAGAAAAAGCGTGGTAAAGGACATATGTAGATATATAGTTACTGAGAGTGGGGTGAGAGGGGAGGGAAAGAGGGGATGGAAAGAGGGGAGGGAAAGAGTGAGAGGGTGAGACAGCAGTAGAAAAACAAACGAACTAGGGGGAAAAATATAATATACAATATAAAAATAGTCATATATGATGATGAGAGGAAGAAGTATATGGAAAAAAATAGAGAGAACTAAAAAAAAAAAACAGTACAGAGAAAAAGAGAAAAGGTGGGAGAGAAAGTGAGAAAAAGAGAAAAAGCGTGGTAGAGGACATAGATAAATAGTTACTGAGAGAGGGGAGAGAGGGAGAGAGTGAGAGGGAGAGAGAGAAAGGGAAAAGAAAGACAAATAGGGAGAGGAAGAGAGGATATATTATAAAATATGTAAAATTAATTTTACTTGAGCACAACAAGTGTTAGTTTTATTATACAGAGTACTTGATAGGTTGAGAGGTACTTCGTTTGGCTTTAGTAGTTTACACCATCGATCATCAATCACATTAGTTAAATACCACCCAGCCCTACCCAGTTGGCGTACGGTCACTTTTGTACAAACATTCGCGGGTACGTGTCCCACTTCATTTAATCATGTCATTCCTTGGCTCTATATAAAGAGCGGGTAGGAACCCTTCAATATAATAATTGTGCTTGAGCAAAGCATCAAGTCTTTGTGTCTCCTGTTCCGATTTTAGTAGCTATTTTGTTTATCTCGTCATGTGTTTTTTTGGGTTTGATAAGACTGAATGTATTTATTAGCGCGAATGAAGCAATATAACTGAGGAAACTTCTTGCAGAGAGTGACTGCTATATATGTTTTTTTCTTTTCATACCAAGACTGTGAGTGTGAGGTTTTGAGAAAAGACAGGATCTGAGTTAACTGAGGTGCTTAATAATGTCGGTTGTGTACGTACACATAGTAAAGTGTGGGGGTTATAACGCTGCCTTGAGAAATACTAGCTTCGATAAGATAATGTGTTGAGGGATAATTGCCTTCAATGACGAGGAAAAACCTGTCTCATAAAATATTATGAGATGGAGGAGCATGAACATCTAGGATTCCTTGATCAAAATTTAGATACATAACAAAAAAGCCTCAGAACGATACTGTTCCAACTCAAGGGAGAAAGAAATAATGTGTACAATTCGATGTCACTTTAGACAGGTGAATGGCTTCCAAAAACCCAATTATTGATCGAGAAGTATATTTTGAAAATTTAAGTTTGGGAAAAAAATTAATAGTAATTCTAAAAGACAAAATGGGGTCTGTAAATCTTTTCGTTCTTTACAAATAAACAGTTTCAGAAGGGATTTTGAGGCTCTTTAGTCAAAATTAGTCTGTGAAAAACAATTTTTGTATCAAAAACATATTACCCATAAGTTAGTCATTTCTTACACATAAAGTCTGTCAATAATTTCTCAAAATTGAAAAACGAACGTCAATAAAGACATTTCGGCGAAAACCTTTAATCCCTTACTCAACGAACAGCGCTTGTTTTAATGAAACGCAAAAACGACCGTTCAGAAGTGACAATCTATGAAAGTTTTAAGTCGTGAAAGACAGTTTTAATTAGACCCTTGCCCCTCTTTCGTACCCGACGGTCTTCAAGATTGCAAAAACTTTCAGACCCTCCTATTTACACCCCCTGAGCGTTTGAGGAAATTAGTTATAATCTTCATTTTATTTATCTTTCAAGAATATATAAATTTAAGAACTTTATAAGGCACGTGTAGTTTTTAAACCTATGCGCACTCATTCCTTCTTAAATATATTCTTTCATATTTATATGACGGGGACCGCGGTAGCCGAGAGGTTAGCATGAGAGACTCTCACGCCGCGGTCGTGGGTTCGAATCCCACCGTCGCCTCTGGCCCTTTTTTCCCTTTTTGTGGGCCGGTGAGTTACACATCCTCACATATTCACAGCACATATTCTCGCTAATAAGTACATTAATTTCACAAAAAGAAGCACAAAACTATATTTATACCAAGTTAAATATACAATATAATAGCCTAATTCAAGAAACTGAACAGGAGACAAAAATACACGCTCAAGCACAATTATCATATAAATAATCTTTAATTAAGGTTTTGGTTGAGATAAAAAAGTCAGTGTCACTAGAGGGATTCGAACCCACGACCTTCGGCTCAATACCCCGTTGCTCTACCACTTGAACTATCGGGACTTCGATCCACTCGGACACCAACTTCCCATATCAACCCACCTTTCGAATTTTCCCTCCTGAAAAATGGCAAAAAGAAGGGAAAATTCGAATGGTGGGCTGAGTTGGTTAGTGTCCGAGTGGATCGAAGTCACGATAGCTCAAGCGGTAGAGCAGCGGCGTATTTAGCCGAAGGTCGTGGGTTCGAATCCCGCTCGTGACACTGGCTTTTCTTATTTCACCCAAAACCTTACATAAAGATTAATTAATTGGAAGAAGTTATTTGGCCAATCGGACCATTAAATCTAATGGATTATCATATAAAGTGGCATTCCTACATGCTCTCTATATGGAGCCAAGGAACGACGGCCTATAGGTGAGACACACCGACCAGCCTTTCTCTAGTGGTAAACTACTCCGATCTAGCTCTGACACACTTTACACATAAATAATCTAATTTAGGGTCAATCTGGAATCCATTATTTCACTATCAGCCCTCTCCACTACACTTTCGTTCTAATAAACACATTCATTTTCAAAATAAACATAATGAAATATTTACTAAGTACGATAAATAATAAAACAGTTTTGTTTCCTTTAAAAATCCAAACACTGGACACAAAGACTTGCTGCTTTCTTCAAGCACCATTCTCCTATTTTATGGTATTCAGACTCGCTCTTTATAAGGAGCCAAGCAATGACATCCATATTGGATACATTGAATCAATATTCCATAATTAAGTAACCTAGTTAGGTTTTTCCTCTTCCGTTTAGATCTCAGGAATTCTATGATGTATATGTATTTATTATCGATGGAAAAAAAAATAAAGCAACCACACCTTATCAATATTAATATTTTTCTATAATAACACCATTGAGTCTTGCTATGAAAATAAAAATAACTCCATAACTGTTCCCTGCTAAAAGCTTCTTAATTTGATTTAATGCCGACCAAACTGTTGACGAGGTGAGGTACGTGGGACCGTATTTCGGACAAACTTAATGAAGCATCTGGGAATGTGGATTTCAGCCAAATATTTCAATATTCGTCGTATCCAAACTGCCCAATTCTAAGAAAAATATTTGATAGTCCATTATATCTATCCAACGAATCTATCCGTATAGACCTAGTATATTTCTTTTGTCCAAGATGTCCACAACTACCGTAAATCCTCAAATTCAAAAACCTCCATTCCGACGATTTCATTCATACTATTTTTACTTTTCTAATTGACGATTGGTGTGGTAAACTGCTAACAATATACATTCACTCTAATAAATTCATTATCAAAATACTCAATTAACACAAAACGAGATATCTATCACATATAATGTATAATAAACCAGTCTTGTTTTCGAAAAATCCAAACAAGACCCAAAGACTAGCTGCTATATACAAGTACAATTATTTACATACATTTTATATAATTCTCTCTCTCTCTCTCTCTACCTGTATCTACGTATCTATTTTTCCCTCTTTCTCTCTCCCTCTCCTTCTACCTACCTACCTACCTACCAACGTACTATACCTACTATTGGGTTGTCCGGAAAATAATGCAGGATTTTAAGTTTTCATTAAAAAAAATCTATATAAAATATTCTGTTTACGTTTACAGGATTACTCATTTGTATGAATGTCAACACTTATTAATCCTCTTCCAAATGATATTGTTTGTTTACCTCTGTAGCA